CAACAGTATCAGATACGCCGATGATACAGTGTTAATTGCGGATTCCGACTCAGGTCTACAACGACTCATCGACAAGACCAACTCGACCTGTGAGCAATTTGGTATGAAAATAAACATTAAAAAAACCAAAGTGATGTCAATCCGAAAAAACCAAAACAAACCTCAACCTTGCACAATAAATGGGCACATCTTAGAACAGGTCAATAGATTTAAGTACCTGGGATGTTGGATCGATAGCAGCCTAAATCCTGATCAAGAAATAAGGTCGAGAATAGAACAGGCTAGAAAATCTTTCGAAAAAATAAAAAAACTGCTTTGTGATTCTCGAATAAAACTCGAAATTCGACTACGTTTATCAAAATGCTACGTCTGGTCGACTCTTCTATATGCAGTGGAAACGTGGACCCTTAAAACATCAACCGTAAATAAATTGGAGGCCTTTGAAATGTGGATCTACCGGAGAATACTCAAAATTTCATGGACATCGCATACCTCAAACGAAGAAGTGCTGCATAGAATAGGCAAGGAAAGAGAACTTTTTAACACAGTAAAAGTTAGAAAAACATCATACCTAGGCCACATAATGAGAAATAATAAGTACCAATATGCCCAACTTATAGTGAAAGGAAAAATCGAGGGAAAGAGAGGCCTAGGAAGGAAAAAGACTATCATGGCTCAGAAACATCCGACAATGGACAGGGCTAAATTTTGAACAGCTATAGACAGCTGAAGATAGAGAAGAGTTTAAAATTGTAGTAGCCAACCTCCATTGAGGAGAGGGCACTTTAAGAAGAAGAATGGCATGCGTAATTTCTTCCATGCTTGGTGGGGGTATTTCTAATTCGACTGTTTGATACTCATGTTCTCCGTTGTTTCCACCATTTTCATCGTTTTCATCAGTGAAATTTTGGATATTCGGGAAATCTTCAAAATATTCAGCCCATCTTTCTATTATTGTGTTTTCGGCAGCCAGCATTTCTCCATTTTTATCTCTTACGAAGTTGGGTTTGCTTATATACGAGCCTCTCTTATGTTGTCTTACCTCTTTGTAGAAATTTTTACTTTGATTTCGTCTGTGTTCTCCTTCTACTTTTTCAATTTGTTGCTGTAGATATTGTCTCTTTTTTTGTCTGTGTTCTTCTAGCTGCGGCTCTCTCTCTGTAGAATCGTATACGTGGATTCGACAAATAATCAATTCTTCTTTTGTTTGCTTCTTTTAGAGTTCTTTAGAATCGATAGAATCGATAGATTTCTCTGCTGCTTCTGTAATAGTTGTTTTTATGGAGTTCCATTGCTGATCTATATCTTCACTTTCATTTTCATTTATTTCCAAAATCTGAAACCTATTTCTTAATTCTACTTGGTACTGTCTTTGATTTTAGCGCTGATTTTCTCCTTGATACACCTATTGGTGAAAGAAGAAGAGAAAGACCCAGAACAAGGTTCCTTGATAATATCGATGAAGACGTGAGAAATATGGGAATACGTGCTTGGCGGAGGACGACTAGGGAGAAATTCTTAGGGAGGCTAGGTCCCACGAATTGTAAAGCCAGGATGATGATGACAAGAGGTTACATATACACATATAATAAAGTGGATTAAACGTTCCACTATAACTTTGTTTTTGTCATCATTTACTTATCGATTATAACATAAAACACACACTTCATATTAAGTTGTTGATTTATTAAATATTCGGCTAAAAAATTTTCGGTTCTAGATATTTTTAAATTAAATAGTGCGTAGAAAACATATCGTTTAAAAATTTATGCGCTATAATTTAAGTTAATTGTTTCAAATATAGTTCAAAATAATGATTATGATTGAATGTTTTGATAACAACAAAGCAGCTACAAACAGACAAAACAGTAAGTAACAAAATAATAAACTTTTCTTCGAGAATTTCTTTGGAAACATTAAGACATAACCGTTGATAAAAGATATAACAGAATTTAATGCAGTTTTTAAAGCATTATGATAATGTAGATATTGGATAAACAATACTTGAAAGAAACCAAACAAATTTTAAACTCATCAACCTGTATAAAATACGCGTAAAGTTAGTAACGCCCTCTTCAAGAATGAAAGATGATGAAGAGTTCTCAAGGAGTTCGTCGGAAAACAAGTTACCAGATGCAATATACCTACATAGATATAAAGACTAATAACTTTACGGTTCAATTTGAAAGTGCTACTGGGTATGGACTGCTGTTCGAAAAAAATATCAAATTAAAATAAAGCTGTATCATGTCTATTGTGAAAAGATGCACTATGTTACAAGAGCGGCACATAATTTAACAAAGAATTTTCATGAGTAAATTTAAGATGTTGATATTTTTTCATAACGTCAGCAAGGTATTGGATTTTTTTTTAGTTGGAACAACTTTGTAAAAAATCAACATAAAAATGAAAATTACGTTGAATTTATTGGACAATAATTTGGTATCCCAAATAAAGTACCTTCTAGTGACTGGACTTCCTAGTAGCTGGATATGGGCAACAATATATTGTCATATAGTGCAGTCCCTACAACAGGGGTCCTGGCCTATACAAAAAGTGGGATAATACTGCACTTTGGTTGTATTGGTAGTGTGCTGGTTAAATCGTGCAGGATATGATGCTAATAAATTGTTGTAATGAATGTTGACAATAAAAATGTATTGTCAACCAACAATAAATTAGATTTAAGTAACATAACAGAAAAAGACTGGGTAGACTACTTTAAACAGTTACTACAAGAAGGACGACAAAATGTTCAATACGAAAATGCAAACAGAGACATACGATCAGAATTCATTGAATTGAACATGACACATATCGTAGAAGCGATAAGATCTTTTAAACTTAAAAAAGCGCCAGGCCCAGGAAACATCTCACCAGAATTTATTAAATACGGCTCAGCTAAACTGTGGGAAATGCTCAAAGATCTGTTCCAACGATGCCTGAATGGAGAAGAGACCCCGTTAGAATGGCGTGAGGCCTATATAACCCCAATATACAAAAAAGGAGCACGAAACAATGTCAGAAACTATAGAGGAATTGCTGTCATCCCCACTATAGGACTACTGTACTCCCGAATACTTAGAAACCTCATAGAAGAAGACATTCGTATGAAACAACCAGAAGAACAATGCGGATTCAGAGCTGGAAGATCGACTATAGATAATCTATTTACACTTAAAATATTAATCGAAAAGCGACAACAAAGAAACAAAGAAACACATATAGCCCTGATAGATCTTGAAAAGGCATATGATAACGTGCCGATAAATAATTTATGGAGTGAAATGCAAAACATGGAAATAAAACCTTCGTTAATAATAGCAACTCAAAAGTGGTATGTAAACAACACCGCATCAATTAAAATAGGTGGCAAACTTAGTGAGAAATTCAACACTACGAAAGGGCTACGACAGGGATGTTGTTTATCACCTACGCTGTTTAAAATATATCTGGATCGATCTCTACAAAAGTGGCAAAGACAATGCAGAAATATGGGAATACAAATAGATGAGGATATTCTCTATACACTATTCTTCGCTGATGACCAACTGGTGGTAGCAGAAGATATAGACGACCTCAGCTATATGGTTAGGAAACTACAAACAGCGTACGAAGAATGTGGACTGACAATGAACTTACAAAAATGCGAATATCTCTCAGTGGGGAAAAATACAGTCGAAGACCTGACATTGGAGAGTGACAAAATCAAAGGAACAAATAGAGTAAAATACCTAGGAGTAGTGTTTACAAAAGACGGAAATAGCCATGAAGAAATAAATACAAGAATAAACAAAGGCAGAAACATTACCAAATGCCTAAACTCCATTCTCTGGGATAAAAAAATCACAAGAACGACGAAAAAACGAATATATAAGACGATGGTTGAGCCGGTGGTAACATACGGAGCAGAGATATGGGACACTAGTAAAAGAAACAGGAAAAAATTACAAGCTACCGAGATGGATTTTATGAGAAGAAGCTGTAGATTGACAAGGATGGACAGAATCCGCAATGAAGAAATAAAACGTAGAATGGAGCAAGAAAAAGACATTATAGATGAAGTCCAGAAAAAACAACTAACTTGGTTCGGTCATGTAAACAGAATGGCAGACGAGAGGTGGCCAAAGAAAATATTAAAATGGATCCCAACCGAAAGAAGGAAAAGAGGGCGTCCAAGAAGAAGCTGGCGAGATGACGTGAATGAAGCCATGGAAGGAAGACAGCTAAATGAAGCCGACACCCGAGATAGGAAACGATGGAAACTAGGGACAGGAAAACAACGACAGTTGTAAACAACCTGTACTATATATATATATATATATATTATATATATATATATATATATATATATATTATATATATATATATATATATATATATATATATATATATATATAAAACCTAGAGCTAAGATTAATATTATTACTAAAATTAATATTAAACTCACCAGTCTTCCGGGTTGAACCGCGTCGTAATCCATTTTGCCAAGCTTTCGGCATCCTCTTTGATGCCTTCCTCAGGGCTTCCGAGGTCTCAGTCTCCCGAGCCCCCAGACACTGTGTCTGGGGGCTCGGGACGTTGGTTTGATGTATTTTGGACTACAGCATATTGAGTATAATTATCTATAATTTATAATATTTCTTGTCACACAAACTTATGAACTCATGGCACCAAGTTATCCGTTGTCCTGACTATTTATTAAACTGATATTTATTTCGTATCAGGTTTTTATCACTTTAACTATCGTTAGCAACATTATTGTTAGAAATTCATTAGTGCTTGTTATTTTTATACATTATTACGTTAATTCCTTTTTAAATATCAGTTTAACTATACTAATACCTGATTGTTTTCATTTTGAGTTTTCAGTATAAGGAAGAACATTTGTGTACAAATATAAATGAGCCGGCACTGGATTATCAAAGTGCATACCCTTGAAAATTTATATGCAACTGTATATTAATGACAAGTTTCTCTATCAAATCAATATCATACTACAAATACTTACACAATCAAATCATCAACGAAACAGTTATTAAAGTCATACCTGCATGTTTTGATCGACATAATAGTTGAAGGTTTTAAGATTTTAGTCAATTTACACAAATTTATTTGACACCACACGACGCTAAACTTCATTATCTTGTCGATTCATAAAAATAGTAAGTAATTCAAAATGAATACCGAGAAGTTATATTTACCTATTAAACGTGAATTGTTGGAGTTTTATGTTTATTGGGTAGCAATCCTAGTGCTCAAAGTCTTATTGATGATTGCTCAGGTGGGCTTATCCAGAATATACTATAAGGTGAGTAGTTATTTCTTTTTTAATATTATTCTTCTTCGCTTGCTATATCAGAACTATCCGACGTTGGCGATCACCATGGCGAAGGCTTCTCGATCTTCTGCAACATGGAATAATTGTCCCGCATTTGATATCCGAGTCCATTAACGAATGTTTTTTAACCAAGAAACTTGTTTTACCTTTACACCTTTACGTTTCACCTTTACGGCCCTTTATTTTGCCTTTACGGATCAGTTGTAATATTTTATATCGACTTCTCCTTACTATATGTACCAGATAAGACATTTTTCGATGTTTAACAGTCTCTAGCAGTTCTCTATCTTTCTTGACGCTCCTTAGTACTTCTTCATTAGTTTTTCTTGCTGTCCAAGGTATCTTCAGCATTCGTCTATGAACCCACATTTCCAATGTTTCAATTTTGTTTATGATCGATACTTTTAGCGTCCACACTTCTGCACTATACAAAAGTAAGGACTAAACATAGCATTTAACCATTATTTACCTTAGTTCTAAACTAAGTTGGTTATTGCAAAGAAATGACTTCATTTTCATAAAAGTAGTTTAGTCATTGCTATTCTACGTTTTATTTCTATGTCTGGATCTAGTTGGTCCGTTATCACAGTTTCCAAATATGTCACTTTGTGAACTTTTTTAACTTGGACTCCGTTCAATTGAAGCTTTGCATCGGGATGTGGGTCACGACTAAACACTAAAAATTTGGTTTTGTTTGAGTTTATTTTAATGCCCTTTTCCTCTCCTACCTCGTAAATACGATCAAGCAGAATTTGAAGACTTTTAATATTATCTGATAGAATTACTGTATCGTCTGTATATCTAATCACATTAAGTAGTTCCCCGTTGATTTTTATTCCATATGATTGTCTCTCAAGTGCATTTTTAAATAACCGAGTCCGAGTAAACATTGAACAATGTTGGCGACAAAATGCAACCCTGTCTGACTCCTCGTTGTATGGGGATTTCCTCCTTATGTTCCATTCTCAATGTAATTTCATCGGCATACTGCCAAATACGTTAATATTTTCAAGGATGGTTTAATCCATTTAAACCCAAACTTAAATTTTTTTATTGCATTTAAACCAAAATTTAAATTTTATTAATCATCGATAAAAATCGACAGCTTCAGCCACAACGATTTTTGGTATTTATTTTATATATCACTTCTACAAATATAAAGACCTGTATTTTTAATTCAAATTCAAATGAGTTATGTAACTTTAAAAACAACCTTGTACCGGGTGGTCCAATAAGCCGATCTCTCGGCTATATATCAGAAACTATTCATGTTATAACTTTAGGAGAAAAAATTCCTTAGTAAAAGTGGCCAAGAGAAATCGCTGGAAATAACTTTCAAGATTCTGGATTAACCGCTAGGGGGCGTAACCTGCGAAGAAAATTTTGAAAGCCAGTTTTTTGGGAAATATGTCCAATTATACCAAGTGTTAAATAAGTAAACTAGAAAGGGGCATAAATTCTGCACAAAGTTGTTTAAGTACTTTTTTTTATTTTTTCAAACAAAGGGTGGGGGAGAGTGGGAAAGTATTTGTGGATAAATACCTATAACTTTGGTTTGGATCAACTGATTTTAATGAAATTAGTGTCATTAGAAAGAGTGTGGATGAATTAATTCACATCTACTATAAAATACTTGCATTTAGTTTTCATAGTCGTAGGTAGAGGGGACTTTCAAATAAAAAAATTAAAATTTGTTTTTGTTCAAAATTTTTAATAGAAACACCTATTTATTGTAAATTATAATGGAACTGGATTAAATTCGTAACAAAATGGAGCAAACCGCATGTTAATAGCTTTTGTTGAACTCGAGATATGAATAAAAACTCATAAACATAAGTAAGTATAGTATTGACACACCCTGTATTATAAATTACATTAAAAAATAAGTCAGTAGGTATTTTCAATTTTTTTTTATAGCAGAAGAATCTTAATGTTGATACCTATTTTGTAAAAAATAGTTTTTTCGAAACTAAGTAGGCTACGACAATGAATTTGACGGGGAGTTCATATTGTTTATTTATTGACAGCAGTCAAAACATTGTTAAGAAGTGCTATATTATAATTCGAATTAAAGATTGCACTTTTTTAATAGATATTAATATTGGTAATATTAGTAATTAATTATCAGTACAAATAATTCGTGATGAGTATATCAAATTGTATGATATGATTGGAGTTTATTTCGAATGTCACCAAAATGCCGCTATTGCCTCACGTATATATTTTGTAAGATATCCTGACAGGAGACATTATGGCAAAGAAGTATTTGAAAGAAAGTCAAAAAGATTAAGAGAAACTGGTAGTTTTTCTCGTCCTTGTTTTAAACGACGTAGTAGAGTTATGAACGAAGATAATTCAATCAATGTTCTTGCTTTAATTCAACAGAATCCACATATAAGTAGTCCGAAATCTCTACTTCCTTGCCACAATATCTCCTGTCAGGATATTTTACAGAATATATACGTGAGGCAATAGCGCCATTTTGGTGATATTCGAAATAAACTCCAATCATATCATACAATTTGATATACTCATCACGAATTATTAGTACTGATAATTAATTACTAATATTACCAATATTAATATCTATTGAAAAAAATGCAATTTTCAATTCGAATTATAATACATATAACACTTCTTAACAATATTTTGACTGCTGTCAATAAATAAACAATATGAACTCACTGTCAAATTCATTGTCGTAGCCTACTTAGTTTCGAAAAAACAATTTTTAATCATATGAAATAACAATGGTCAAAATAGGTATCAACATTAAGAGTTTTCTGCTATAAAAAATTTTGAAAGTACCTACTGACTTATTTTTTAATTTATTTTATAATACAGTGTGTGTCAATACTATACTTACTTATGTTTATGCGTTTTTATTCATATCTCGAGTTCGATATAAGCTATTAACATGCGGTTTGCGCCATTTTGTTACGAATTTAATCCAGTTCCATTATAATTTACAATAAATAGGTGTTTCCATTAAAAATTTTGAAGAAAAACAAATTTTAATTTTTTCTATTCGAAAGTACCCTCTACCTACGACAATTAAAACTAAATGCAATTATTTTATAGTAGATGTAAATTAATTCATCCATACTCTTTCTAATGACACTAATTTTGTTAAAATCGGTTGATCCAAACCAAAGTTATAGGTATTTATCCACAAATACTTTCCCACTCTCCCCCACCCTTTATTTGAAAAAATAAAAAAAAAGTACTTGAACAACTTTGTGCAGAATTTATGCCTCTTTCTAGTTTACTTATTTAACACTTGGTATAATTGGACATATTTCCCAAAAAACTGGTTTTCAAAATTTTCTTCGCAGGTTACGGCCCCTAGCGGTTAATCCAGAATCTTGAAAGTTATTTCCAGCGATTTCTCTTGGCCACTTTTACTAAGGAATTTTTTCTCCAAAAGTTATAACATGAATAGTTTCTGATATATAGCCGAGAGATCGGCTTATTGGACCACCCGGTACATATCTCAGTGTGTACCACATTGAGACATGTTACTGGTACACGGTGACACGGATTGTATATTCTATAGTTCGATAAGAACAATAAAAAAATGATCACTACAACTTTGTAAAATACTTATATATTTCCCAAGAAAACATAAGAGTTGATATCTGAACGGAAGGCTAATTAGCGAACGTCTGGATAACCAAAATTTATTTCAAATTTAGTGCAGAGGGCAGATATTATACAGTAAGTGGTAACTAGTACACCATGTTTACCACTAGTGCAGCTATTTAGTTGTTTACTGCCTTTTTCAGATACTTCTTTGGGGTCGTGGACAAAAAATTCGTTTAGGATGTTTTGAAGATCATCATAAAACAGCTGAACGTTGTGCGTTGTGTCGGTTGAAAGAAGTTAAACGTGCCAAGCCACAGGACTCAGGTTATCATATCCCTAACTTTTTTCTTTTTATAAATGAATGTTTGTTACAATTATTAAGAAACCTAATTAGCGACATTTGACAGATTAAGGACTGAAGTTCTAATGTAAGAAGTTTGAAAAATATTGTCTTTGAACGGCGTCATCTACAAAGCTTCAAAATGTGGAGTTACAATTCTATAAAGCATGGGTAATATATTATAAAGTCATCAATAGGATGCTGTTTACCTTATTTTAAAATACAAATAAATTTTAAAAATATAAAATAGAAAATACTATTTAGGTAATTTTAAATAATGTTTAATGTTGATACTATAGGTGTAAGGATTATTTATTACTATTATTAATAATTATTAAAGATAAATTTTACTTAAAATTCATATGCATCACAAACTACTGAGATTATTAATTAATCAGTTAAATAACTTGCATTTCGATTAGTTGACATTGAAGATAAGTTAAAAGTAATTGTTCTAAAGCATTCGTTTTTCTATAATTTGGTACTTATCAATAATTTGATATTGCTTGAATACAAGAGTCAAGGTTTGTTTTGATGTTTCTAGTCACGTATTCTAGTCACGTATTCGTATAAAATATATGTGAAAACGCATAAAATATTGCTCAGTGTTTAATTAATAATTAGATAGGTATAATTACTAACGTAATTATTACGTATTTTTACTAACGAATACAGTGTGGATGATATGTTTACTATTTTTAAGTCGCATTGCCCTTTTCTTTTTGTTTTAAACATTCTTTCAATTTGTTGAAAGAATTTCTTGCCTGTCCTATTCTTGCCTTAATCTCTTCTGTGTACTCATTATTTTCGTTAAATATTGTACCCAGATATTTATATTTTCAACTTTTTTTATTTGTTCTCCATGTATTGTTATGTTTTCTTGGCGCTGTTGGGCTTCTGTAATTACCATAAATTGTGTCTTTTTTGTGTTTAGAGACAGTCCGCTTACTTCACTGACTTCTACCACTCTGTCAACCATTTGAGGGAGACTACTGAGGGAGAGATTGGAGAGACGATAGAAGGACCATTAATGCCAGCCAGTGAATTAACACAATGGTTTAAGAAAAAACAAATGGAACAGTCAACAGGAATATGGCATCTCATTGAAAAATATGAGATTTCTTAATATACAACCAAAAATTCATAGAAATCCGTGGTTTTACGATATTACAAATTGGTACTAAGACCATAAACAGAGCAAGAAACAAACACAGTTTATATCAATACCACAAAAATAAACTAGGGTTGGTCACTTTTTAAAATTGTACTTGCGTAGAGTTGGGTACATTAGAGCATGTGATTTTTGATTGTGTATACTTCCAGATGATAAACCAAACGATATACAAGAATCTACAAACAGTAGGAGCTACTCTCTCCAGCAATTTAAATGCCATTCTTTGTACACGTAATATGAATTTCTAAAGAATAAGAATAAAATAAGTATATACAAAAAAATAATAAATACAAAAAAAATTAAAAAAACACACACAAAGAGGGCCTAAACCTCTGAGGTGTTGAATCGGGTTTAGGTCTTAGCGCTGTGGTGAAAAAATAATATTTTAATTATTAGTATTTAATTTTAGCATTTAGTATTAGTTGTTATTAGTATTTGTTAAAATATAATGCATCAAGAAATACAACGAGTATTTCTTTTTCTCAAATATTACTGATATTTTTAATGTTTTAGGTACCACTGAATGCAGAAGATGGTAAAGTTCTAAAAGCTGCAGTACGTGAGCATGAAGTTGTAGACCGAAATAGAAGGTAAGATGAATTATTGGTATGAAGATCAATATCATAAAAAGCCTCTGTTATTTTTACTGCTGGATGTCAGCCTTCTGATTTATGCTATAAGTTTATTTGTAATCAGTATTTGCTCATCTTTCTTTGGTCATCCTGCAATCGTGTAAGTGATCTTTTCTACTTCTCTTATCTGTCCATTATTTATTTTTCATCCAGTGGCTACATAACCAGTCTATTTTTACTTAAGTTTACACGTAGATCGTAATTTACAGATAGCTTAGATCATAGATCTACATTTGTGATATTCTCTTTCTCGTAACACATAGCAGTAATCGCTACATGCATTTTCATTGTACCCTTAGTCATTAAACAGTTTTCTTTCGTATTGAAAGTTTCTCTGCATATATTCTGCTCATTTTTAGGTCCTCGATATGGATACTTAACTACTAGAAAGAAAAATATTATAACCTAAAAATGATGTCAATAATAAAGGTATTTCATATTCTAGTCAATCATCGTTCTCATTCATTGAGCTCTTGTCACAGCGTGGTAACACTCCAAATATTATTAGCTTACTTCCTTCATTGGGAGTGATCTTGTGCAATATGGATGTCCTTTCCAACCTGAATCTTCATTTGGTCTGCCCATTATATTGGAGATTTTCTTCTAGATCTTCGGCCTTCTACCTTTCATCGCCAGTTAATTATATATCTACTATTAGAAAAAAAAAATCATTAAACATTTTACTACAAATGTACTTTCACTATTACTTCCAGCAACAAGTTGAAGAGTATTGTGGACAGTGGATCTCCCTGCTTTAGTTCCCTTCTTACTTTAAATTTTCCTGTTATGCTTCCTTTTATCCTTACTTTATTATCAGTCTTCATTAAGGTCACTTTTAATCTAATCTTTTTTTCTGGAATTCCAAGTACCATATAATCTCCTAAATGTTCTTCTAGAGATGTTGGCGACCACATTAACCCATCTTATTCTATCCACAGCTGCTCGAAATAGATCAGTTGACGTTCGACGAGTCCATTTCCTAAGATTGGCCAGCCAGGATACACGTCTACGTCCAAGGCCTCTCTTACCCTCAATCTTTCCCTGTAGAATCAACTGTAGAACTCGGTATTTATTATTACACATGATGTGGCGGAAGTAAGCCAATTGTTGCTGACGCTTCTAAATATGTCCGACCGATGTGAGCCCAAACCACTTCCGCAGATTTTGGAACTACGAGTGTCTTCTCCTGCCTGGCCCTCGCTTACTGTCTATTTTTCCCTGGACAATCAATTGTAGTAGACGGTACTTATCGTGTCTCAATATGTGGCCTAGATATTCAAGCTTTCGTTGTTTAATTGTAGGTGTGCCACTAACAGCTTTGAAATTTCAGCATGCACCTCATCAGGTCCTGGTGATTTCCCATCTTTAATTCGCTTAATGGCCATAGTTACTTCTTCGTTTGTGTTAATAATAATCTTATTGTGTCGTAAATAGTAAAACCAAAAGTGAATTTGATAAGTAATATCTTTTATTTTCAGAGCACACCTCAACGATTTGGAAAACATACCGTTCTTCATCATCATTTGTTTCTTGTACCTACTAACAGATCCTTCAGTGGGTTTCACTCAATGGATTATAAGAATATACGTGTTGTCAAGAATTCTGCATACATTTGCATATACAGTTTTGAAATCTGTAATAAGAGTTCCGATATATGAAGTAGGCTTACTTATCAACGCATATTTAACGCTAAAAGTTATATATCATTTTAGTTAATAAATATTTTTATTAAAAAATACTTAATTACTTTTTCTATTATTTAACACCCCCGTTATAATATTTAATGATAAAAGAGCTGGAGTAGGTAACAGTCGGTCTATGTCTATGCATAAGTTATTAAAAAACAAAACTCATGACAAGAGGTCGGAATATATGCAATTATGCATTATAATAACAGAAAAAAGCAACATTATGCATTATGCAAATAATATGCGTAATATATGCAAATATTACGATTTTATTAAAACGTTTTTGACATTACTTACCAATTCATTAACATGTGGAAAATTTCGTCTGGAAAATGTTCTTCCGCGAGAAGGTTAAGCCCATAAGCTAGACATGTTATATAAACATCTATAGATGGTAATAGAAATGGTATAGAATATCTTTAACTTTTCCATATACTTGGTATGGTCGCTTAACATTAATAAAACTTTATAGCATGATATACCTACTTTCCAGAAGAAAAAATCGGAACAACTTATCCTAAACCAAACGTGTTATGGTCAAATTGTTGATTTTTTTCAATTGCTTTGACGCAATAAGGTAACATTTATTTTTTAAATCTTCGTGTAAAACCCCTATCGTTAAATGTGCCATATCGGTCCCCATGAATCAGTACCTTCGTCAACTATCGGCAACAATTTTGCGCGAATATTTCTTATAGTTGTAACGTAGCTATTCTCGATATATTTCTTTCTTAAGGTACTTTCATCCAAAATGTAGAATTGACATAGACATTAATAGACATTGTTTAAAATCATGAATTCTTTACCTATTAGACATTGTTTACTTTTGAAATTGGAATTGCTAAAGATAACAAGGCATCGTAAAGGAATTGGTTAAAAAGTTGCTGCTCGGATTTTTGAATTCCTAACTAATGCGCCGTTGCCAGTTACTATTTTGAATTGGGTCCTTTAAGAGTTTTTTCACGTTTTTCAAGGTGAGAAAGTCTCTTTGTATGCTGATCGATTCAAAATTGTCTATCAAAATAAATCTGATATAAAAATCCAAAGCTCATTCACACGTTTTTTTTTTTCCGAAACATGCGTTGACAATGGGGTGCACTTGTCTTAAAATGAAGCTCGACAAAATACTTTTCCTCCATCCACCTTTAATTCAGAATATGAATCCAAAATGTGATACTTCTGGGTGACACAAATCTAACCATCACAAAGCATGGACTACCAAAGGTATCCGCATATCGGCCAAGAATATGCGTTCACTACTGTTCATCAAGAAATATACTACCAATGTCTTTGCCACTGAATATATCTCTAAGTACATAATATCTAAAAAGTATCGAAAATTTATCAAAACAACTAAAAAATGTACTATTAAAATCGTCTGGGAAGCTCTAAAAATGTTGCAAAAGAAACTTGGTCCATAACAAACTATCTGCGAAACAAACACAGCTTAAACATTTTCTCTTCCAAACCCTGAAAATCTAAATAAATATTTCGTTAATATGAGTAGAAATGTACCATCAACTATTTTGCCACAACAATATCTTATTTCCTATCTACCCAATTCAAAAAAGGTCTCAAATTCGTTCTTTATAAGACCAGTTGATAAATCTGAACTGATCAAACAATAAATAGTATTAAAAGCAACTCTTCCTGTAGTACTGATGGACTTTCCATAAAAATTTTCTTAAATCTCAAAAAAATGTGTTTGAAGTTTTATTCTCACTAATTAATGATTCAAATAGGTAAAGAAATAATAAATAAGACTTACTCACAATCAATTTAATTTAACTATCAGACGACCGGTTTTGCTTTCTACAATATGCAAAGCATCTTCAGGTCTCGATACAAGGTGTTGTCTAATAAAGATAAACAAATTAGATGTTTTAAATTACAATAATTATGCCAATATTACATGTCTGTGGTTTTAACGAATTATACGTTTATACGAATACGAATACGATACGATACGATACGATACGATACGATACGACGATAATGTGGGATGTATTTCAATTATTCGTATTGTTACATTTAAATTTAATTAATTAAAGATTGTTAAAGTATGCCAATATTAAACACATCAATTTACTTTTGATATCTTAATTGAAACAATTTATAGACATTCATTAATATCAGCATATTTCATAAAACTAGAAAACTTAACTTACAGTATTGAGAACCAGAAGAAGAACTGTCACATGCTAACCTACATCTGTCAAATTTACCACTAAAATTCTAATAGATAACATCATAAAAAACTCATTGTGCCTAAGACTGAGATGTAGTGCATAAAAGTCCTTCCCCTTTTTAGATTTAATGTTTGTTTCGTCCCTTCTAAGTATTTTCTGTTTTTGTGTGTTTTAAATTGTCCTTAATTGTTTTAATTCTAATATTTTATTTACTCGACTTTGCAATAATCTACTATTTTGCCAATAGAACTTTATCAAAGAAATTTGATAATTACAAGTTGAAAAATAATTGCACACCCACACAATTTGTACATCTAAACTTATTCATTGTCATAAAACTGTCGCCTTCATAAAACAATTACTCAATAAATAACACACATTTCATAAATATATCTCTCGAATAAGTATAAATAACTTTTAAATAATACAATGGTATATTAACATCACTTTCATTTAACAAACAATCACACACATATCACTGCTTCATTGGATCAAGTCTATCTCCTCAAGAACTTCCCGTTTACTGTCAAACAACTACAATAGCAGAATTGACTTCTCCATTCAACAATACATAGTAGTTTCAACCATGTTCTACCATCCATTAATTAATAGAGTACCGGCATGTAAGTAATGTTTATTTATTTGCTCATTTATTAATTTATTACAATCTAATAGACTATATTATAACAATTTGTGGGTCTTACCTTGTCTGTTTTAAACTTTTAAAACTGTTTATACCTTTTTATTCAACTTACTCATTTTGAAATTAAAACCACAGACATGTAATATTGGCATAATTATTGTAATTTACAACATCTAATTTGTTTTTCTTTATTAGACAACACCCTAATATGGGTTTTTCTCATTTCAGCATTTATTTAACTTTGTATCGAGACCTGAAGATGCTTTGCATATTGTAGAAAGCGAAACCGGTCATCTGATAGTTAAATTAAATTGATTGTGAGTAAGTCTTATTTATTATTTCTTTACATATTTGAAATGGACTCACACAAGCAACACATTCATGAATTAATGATTCCTTTGAAAACTGTATATTTCCAGAGTGCCTAAAGATAGCCATTAATATTCCTCTTCATAAGAGTGGTGAAAAATTAAATGTCTGCAAGTATTAAAATGGCTGCACTTTTAAAATTTGTCTTAGTTAACTGTTTGACGCAAAAGCCATAAATGAATCTAATGTAAATTTTGGAGATTTACACAGATATTTTTATTCCTAAAAGTTTCAACGACTTTTTGCCAATTTTAGATTTCGGAAAAATCCGTCCTACTAAAAGTGTTTATGTATATTTCATTTTGTTTGTTTATTAGGATTGTTAATTGTAAAATAGTTTTCCTAAAACATCTTGTTTTAATAGCAGGTACGCCCAAAATTATTCAAAGAAACAGGCTTTATTACTCGACAAATTTAAATTAACAATTTCGAGAAAAGGTCGAGACATTCAGAAAATATTGGTACTGTACAATGTTTTTATAAAAATATGCAGATATATGCAAAATATCTCAATATCCAACAAAACGTTAATAGAAAATGACTTAAACAATGAGCTAAAGAAATCAATAAATGAAAACAACACAGAAATATGGAACACATTTAAAGATCTTACCTTGAAAGTAATAGAAAAATATTCAACAACGTTACACAGGCACAAAAAACAACAATGGATGACTGATAAAATCCTGGAATTAATGGAGCAGAGAAGGAAACTGAAAGGTAACAAGACAGAATATAAGGAAAAACAGAAACTAATTAAACAAAAAATAACGATGGCTAAAGAAAAACGGATGGAGGATAAATGCAAGGAATTAGAAAAGTTGAATGAAAAACATGATACGTTTAATATGTTTAAAAAAGTTAGAGAAGTAGCTGGTCTTTATCATAAGAAAACTCCACAAACTATAACCGATTCGTCTGGAAAAATGATAATAGACGACCTTGACATTCGAACAACCTGGTGTAATTATATAAGTGAACTGTATAATGATGATAGACCCGAAGAACCGGAGACTTTAGTTGAAGATGAAGGACCAGAAATACTAAAATCAGAAATACTGCATGCTATAAAGTTAGCAAAGAACAAGAAAGCCGTTGGCCCTGATAACATACCGACAGAGATGTTAAAGCTTATAAATGAGGAGAACATTGGAATACTGGTCAAACTTTTCAATGATGTTTATTCGACTGGTGATATCCCTTAAGATTGGTTAAAGTCCGAATTCATAACACTACCAAAAAAACAACGTCCGAAAAACTGTAGCGATTATAGAATGATAAGCCTTATGAGCCACACTTTGAAAATATTTCTACGCATCATCCACAGTAGAATCAGAGATAAATGTGAAGAAGATCAGGATGAAACATGTATTAGTGCAGAAATGTCGAGATCAAAGGAAAGACGTCTTTGCTGTATTTATTGACTATGAAAAGACCTTTGATCGAGTACAGCATCACAAATTAATTACAATATTAAAAGATAAAGGAGTTGATAGTCAAGACATATGATTCATAGAAAAGTTATACTGGCGTCAAATAGCGACAGCTTGCATAAACGGAAAATCAACAGAAATATGTAAAATACAAAGAGGTGTCAGACAGGGTTGTATACTATCCCCACTGTTATTTAATTTATATTCAGATAGAATATTTAAAGAAGTGCTGCATAATTTTGAATGGGGCGTGAAAGTTAATGGAATTCTGATAAATACAATCAGATATGCAGACGATACAGTTCTTTTAAGTGATGACATGAATGGATTACAATGCCTTTTAAATGCCATTGATACAGTGGGAAGAGAGTTTGGCCTAAACATAAACAGTTCAAAAACAAAACACATGGTGTTTAGCCGTTTA